TAAGCGTTCAAAAGATATTCAGAGACAGAAATCAGTACACATGAAAGTTTGATGATGAATATCTTTTGAACGCTTAATTTAATCGCCAAAACATAGGACACCATTTTTATAGAGCAGTTAATTTCCTACAAAAATTTGTATTGCGCATTTTATAATAGTAATTTATTGTCGAATTATAAAATTTATAAACAAAAATAAAATTTGTCTAAAAATCATCTAACTTAAATCTTCAATATCATTCAAATGGTGAGGTTTACGGAAAAAATGTAAGATACCTGTTTTCTAGAGCATTAAATTTCCTACAAAATTCTTCTAGAACATTTTTCTGTACAATCAATAAATAATGAGATATGAATTTTAATCTATTGAACTGAGAAAAAAATAAAAAACTGCGATGCGGATGATCTTCCTATTAAAATTAAGAGCTCATATTTGGTGAGAATTCTTTTAAGGTGTCTAGCAACCCATTTTTCCGTGGCACTTGTAAAAAAAAAATAATTGATTTTTTTGACCCACCCTAATATATATATATATATACATAAATACATATACATTGATGTCTGATACATATTTTTCCTTTTTTTTTATAAATATAATAATCGTTAAGATTAAATTCCGAGCACTTGATTTGAGTCGTAAAAGCGTGTAAGTCATGTTATCTCCAAATGAAAGTAATTAACTTATTTCTATCGATCGAGTTAATACTTGAATCTGTCTCATTCTTATGACACACGCATATATGTATATGTATATATACATATATATTACATATCTCTTTGTCGATCTATATTTTGGCTGTGTTAAGGGGGAAAGATAAGTACATAAAGACGAATGTGCTTGCACGATGTAAAGGACGAAGATGTGCCAAGCAAAATGTCATTGTTGTTGCCCACAAGAGATTGCATTCAAATATGTCCAATTGTTTATTATTTTATTGTCCTTGCGATCACTGTTCTTTCACATTTCTTTTACTTATCGAAGGTAATACGCGTCATAAGGTATGTCATCGTGCTTTGCTTCAATCGCAACAATCATTTATCGAAGAAAAATTTGTTTACTAACATTTCTTATACTATATAAGATATTATATATACATTTATTATCTGAACCTCAAAAGATTTCATTTATTCAATCTCATTGAAAATTATCGTTCGTTAACCATTAGAAAAAAAAATATCCATACGTATCGATAATACAAGCCAAAACGAGAGGTTCCCACGTCAAGCATCATCTAACGTGTGATATCTCTTTGTTTCTCTTTTTCCGTCTAGTGTACTTCATGTAAGCACGCTGATTGGTGGAAGAGATTTGTGTGTGAGTGTATTCGAAGGTAGAAAGCAAATCAACTGCGACACTGCGTATTATTGTTGTGTGTGTGTGTGTGTCTCTCTCTCTCTATCTCTATCTATGTATCTATAATCTATTTGTCTGTCTGTCTCTCTCTCTCTCTCTCTCTTCTTGTCTCTGTCTGTCTGTCTCTCTTCTTCTCTCTTTCTCTTTCTCTATCTATCCATCTATCCATCTATCCATCTATCCATCTATCCATCTATCCATCTATCCATCTATCCATCTATCCATCTATCCATCTATCCATCT